AAGTGAGAAAAGTGTAGACAGGTATTCAGTTCTTACCAAGTGTTTGTGCTAGAGAATCACAGGATTAACTAGGTTAAAAGACCATCAAGTCCAACCTATGATCCATCACCAACTTGTCATGGTGGCACTGAGTGCCACATCCAGTCTTTTCTTAAACACTTCCAGGGGCAGTGACTCCACCACCTCCCAGGGCAGCCAATTCCAATGCCTATCACTTCTTCTACGAAGAAATTCTTCCTAACGTCCAGCCTAAACCCTTCCTGGTGCATCTCAAGACTCTGTCTTCTTGCTGTTGCCTGGGAGAAGAAACCAACCTGATCTGCTACATCCTCCTTTCAGGGAGTTGTAGAGAGTGATAATGTCTCCCCTGAGCCTCCTTTTCTTCTCTATTCTTTAAGCTGTACAAAAAGAGACTGACAGAATTGCTTATAACATCCTTGTTCTAGGATTTTCCACCCTTTCTACAGCCTCTCAACTAACCTGGTTGAGAGGTTATAAAAAGAACTGGCATTTAGTTATAAAAAGAACTTTTTGCTTATGTGGCAGGGGAATCTTGAAGTCTAAGAAGCCTCATATGCTTCTATTTCAAAAGCAGACAAAGTAGTGCTTTTCATTAGGTATATCTAGGTAGTCATATACTCTTCCAAGGTAATACTAGCCATGATGTTACTGTTGAGCAGGTTTAATTCCAGAACACAGGAACTGATCTGTGCAAGTTTTACTTGCGATTTGCTTTAGTGACTTAAGAGCAAGAGTTGGATTGCCCACCTTGAGAAGGTTACTGTACAGTTAGTATGAAAGTCAGAATGAGAAAAAAAGCTCAGCTGAAATTTTTGCTGTCTTGGTGAATGAACTGTTGTATTTCTTCCCATCAGTGGTTTTTTTCCTTCCTGAAAAGAGGCTGGATAAAAATTTGGTCTTGGATTAAAGTATATTACAACATCAGTAATTTTTTTTTTAATTTTCCATACATTAGACTCTCTACTTGGCTAAATATAAATTATTTACTGGTTTTGTTTGATATTTTTATTCTACATCTTATTTCATTGGCTCCATCAGACAATCTATTCATTGTTTGTTTTGAAAATAAAGAAAAAAGGCATATTTGTTTTATATGCTCAGTTAATATTCCCACTCACAAAAATAACACTGTAGAAGGCTAATGAAAGTGTAGAGGCATATTCCTTTCCTAGGCTTGCATCAGAACTTCACACTTGTGACAAATTAACTGCTAATAGCGAACAAATGCTGAGAGAGTGGCAAGTCAGCATTGCTGCTACCCATGCTGTTAAGTTTAAAATTTGCTTGTCTGACGTGTGAAGTGTTCCATGTGTTTGTTTTAATGCTGTCATCTTTGATTTTGTGAGAAATAGATGAGATATTTTCAAGTTGTTCTAAAAGCAACTTCCCATAATCATGCAAAAAGTCATTAGCCCTGGGGACGTTGACTGGAGATCTTCCAGTTCTGTGCTGTAACCACATTACAACACCGTGATGCTGAGAAACAGTATCCTGCCTGTGATGACACCCAGGTCTTTGGCATTTTTCTTGATATCTCACATTGAAGATTTGTGTAACTTGTTTTTCATATTTACTCTGTCATCTTTCTCCACTGTTAGTATCCAAATATCTCTCCTTTGGGAAGTAGTTTTATTATTACTGTTTTTTAGCTGTAGCAGATTATGTTCTGAAGGCAAAATATTGATATTTTGCCTGTCTGTGCTTTTAATGTGTGACAGTTCCTTTTTATGTCCTTACTCAGATGTACCTAGAAAATAATCTCAACATCATGTCAATTTGGAAAGTGTTTTCCACCCTCCAGATTATTAGAGAACATTTATAGATGAACAGCTCTAAAATAATATTTTTTCAGTGCTATGTAAGACATAAGTCTGGGATGCAATAAAGTGCATTTCTAATGGTTACTGTTAAAACTTTTTTTTTCTCCAGCCCCAATATGTTATTACATTGTAACCCTTCAGATACCACACTTCTTGTTGAGGATTATATTGCAGTTTAGGAGACAACTTTAAAAACATTTGAATATTTAAGTGAAGAAGAGTTTTGCGAAAAATAAATTCCAGCTCAGGAATTTTCCTACAAATACCAATAGATGCCCAAATTTCTATTCTCTCTCTTTCAATAGGACTGAAGTTGTTATAACATTTAAAATTCCTTTATTCCTATAATTTTCAATCTCCACCAACCACATAACTTTGTTCATGTTAGAGGTTACATCCCTGGGATTCTGCTCTAATTTATAATAATGACTAAGTTGGATGTTTATTTCTTGCTACTAATGTACTGTCTTTATGCGTAGGAAGTTTCTCTCTCTGAGAAAAAGGGCATCCCAAGAGGGCACGTTAAAGCACATACAACTGTACTCTAGAAATGTAGAAATACCTGCAGACATCAGCTTAGTGCATATAATTCATTAATAAATCATTCCCTGCCTGGTGAAAGGCATATGGCTAAACTGCAGCTTCCCAGACAGAGACTGCATTGCCCAGAAATCCCTCATAGGTACCAAGTTTGGGAAGATGTCACGGCAGGAAGGTCTTTCAGTAGAGAAAGTGAGCAGAACTGATGTTGCGCACATTACTTGGCCATGGGGTAACCAGCATGTTAGATGATACAGTGGAAATGTAATCTTTTTGACAGGGTCTGTTGGATGTAGCTACCAAAACTAGCAGGTATCCGTATATTCCATCTGGGGCCAAGGAGAAATTCCAGCTATTTGTTCCATTCTTTTCCATGCATGGCTTTTACCTATTCACTTTCTCTACCAAAAGACTTTCCTCCATCCTTCCCAAACTTGGTACTTATGAGGGATTTGTTGGCAATGCAGTCTCTGTCTGGGAAGTTACAGTTTAGCCACACACCTTTTACCAGGCAGGTAATGATTTCTTAATGAATTATATGCACTAAGCTGATGTCTGTAGGTATTTCTGCATTTCTAAAGTATAATTGCATGTGCTTTAATGTTTGAGTGATAATACCTCAAAACTTGCATGTGACACCTAACAAAACCATAATAAAAAGAAGGAATATAACATCTTGTAAAACTTCTTAAGACAGGTCTTTTCATTTCAGTATTAAGACATTCTTAAAAGGCATTACTTCAAACACAGAGCTAGAAGACTATTTGGAAATACTTTAAAATAAAGAGGGATCTTTTCAAAACTTGTTTTCCTATGTGATTTTTGAATTATTTACTTCAGGCTTTTCAAATTAATTCTATAAATGGGTAAGACATTTATTTGCCGATAAAGGAAGCAGTTTTTTTTTCAAATTAAGCCGAATTAGGCTTTAAAATTAGTCTTCATATGAAAAATAAACTTCAAATTTAGTCTTGAAACATTCTCTGGTCAAGTTTGGCAACCAAATAATGGATTGTGACAGATCAATAGGAAATTAGTTTAGATATTATTATTGTGAAATCTTGAGCCAGCTTTAGAATTAATCAGTTTCAACTTTTCAGTTTGATTTCATGAATAAATTACACTTTTCTCATAGGTTATGTATATATTGCCTTTCAAATAAACTGAATTATGGTCTTTGACATTTTAGCAGTTTAGCATTGATCATTTATATTGCTTATTTTTTTGTTTCGTCTCTTTTTTCCTAGTCCTATTGGTTGTTCTTGATTTATATTAATCCATTCCAAACAAGTCATCTTAGTGTCTCCCATCTAAGTGTCTTAAAAGAGTAAGGGCAAAAACTTAATAAAAAAGAAATAAGGAATAACTCTATGCAAACAAGCTGTACCAAAGGAAAGCAGCAGTGATTCTTGTCTGTAATATGAGCATCAACTTTAATTAAAAAGCACATGTGTTCTCCAAATGTGTGTGCAAGCAAGTCTGTCAACCACCACCAGGAGAAGAGTGTCTGTGTACACAGCTGATCTCAGCCTCCTCTGAAGTGCTTGCTGTGTAGTTTTTTATTTCTCCTTTTGATTTAAACGTCTTTCTTTTTGGCTACTCAAGCCTTACATTATCTTTCTGTCTATGTCCTATCAAGTTCCCATCTCTTTTGCTGTGTGGGCTGGAACTCTTATATCTCCTCTTCATAACACCTCTCTGAAGTTCCCTGCCTGCTCCATCTTGCTTGTGTCACATTTCTGCAATGGAGCTGCTATCTGCCCAAGGATGAAGGCATGACTTATTAGTAGAAAACACCCTGTGAAATCCATGTTAAAGGCAAAACCTGCAAATCATAAGGACAGCTTTCCTACCGTGGGTACAATATGGATGGCCACTGTCACCTTGTAGAGTGCATGGAGCAGGGCTAGGCAGAACATCCCACTGTGGCTTTGCACAGTGGGGAAGGGGCTGAGCAGCCACTGAGCATTTCTTGTTTTCCTTCAGCAGCTTCTTGACATAGAACACTTGCAGCTTAGCTCTGCTTCCAGGCACAGAGCATACCACTGATGTGACGGGTACTTCTGACATTTTTACTGCTCCCAGAGAGGCAAGTAGGCTTGCAGGGTTGGCCCAAGGTAGGACCAAGATGTGCCTTGGCTTTGAGCATACCTGGCATACACTCTTAGCCTCACCTGTAATCACCAGTGTGTGCATTGGTGCAACCTCATCTTCCTCATGCCATATTGTGCATGGTAGAGGTTGGATGAACATACACATACCAACAATAGGAGTGGTTGTTAGAGAATTCTGGACAAACATTTTATTTAAATGTAAGATTTTGTTCAAAATTGAGAACCAATATCTAAGACTCCTTACTGTTGCTGTGAATTACGTATCATTGCTGTATGTCTTTATAACAAACTGTGTTTCCAGTAGGGATGAAGAGTTTAAAGTGTTGCTGATAATATTAAAACATGTTCAGAGGAATATTGTAACATGGGTATACATTACTGTGAGGGGTTAAATAGTGCGATACGTAATGAGTAGTTGTTCATTTAGCACCTGAGGATAAGCAAAATCATAGCCTTTAATCCCAATGGTTTGTGCTTACTTGGAAAAATGTTTGTCTGACTGCAGGCATGGAACCCGTTGTGCTGGAGAAGTGGCAGCCACGGCAAACAACTCACACTGCACAGTAGGAATCGCCTTTAATGCCAAGATTGGAGGTATGTGAAACAATCTCCCACAGGAAAAAAAGTGTAACCCAAAAGCCGTTTGTGCTAAATGGTACATTCAGACATTTCTCAACAAGAGAAGGAGATTTGTATGAACAAGCCTCACTGTGTGAGCTGTAAAGCTCAGTTTAGAGTGGTCGTTCAGTACTAAAGGGGTTTGTCTGTGGTGGCCCTTCTGCAGTGCTCTCTGGAGCACTGCCTCCCAGTACACATTAAAAAATAGGTCAAACTTTTGATGAAAACATGACCCCAGAATTAGGACACTGGGGTTTTCTCACAGATTCAGAGCTCTTAAGCCATGAACTTTGACAAACCATAAGTAAAGGTACAGATCAGTTACATTGCCTTACATATTGATCCCAAATGAAAAACTCTCAAAACATAATGCTTTTTTTTTTTTGTCTGTGGCTGGTGAGAATTTTCTTTTGATCCCTATGGGTGGTAAGATTATTGCCTGAAAAATCAATGTATGATCACATATTTTTGTTCATTCAGCCAAGAAGTTTCAAGTATTTTCTGTGAATTCTTTGTCATTGGCGGTTGAATTAATGTCTTTAGCGTAGTTTTATGACAATGATTATCAAGATGTCATCTGCATGTCTCCTGGGATGTAGCTTGCCTGTTACAGATTGTAATACTTCTAGTGAAGTTTATTCTGAACTTTTTATAAAGTCATGGGATTGGTATATTGGCTTTCAGCTGAAAGTCTCATAGCTCAAACTCAGTAATTGTTGCCTTTTGAAACAGAGCCTAAAATAGACCCCATCTGTAAAAATAGAAACATGTTTACCTATTTGTACACCAGAGGACAGTTCAAATATACAAGCGGACAGAATTGAGACCATCTTTTCATTATTAAAAATACTGCTTCTATTCTCTGCTGGATCAGTACAAGTTTGATCCAAATCTCATGTCAGCACAGATACATTTCAAATTACCCAAAGCACACAACTTCATCCTCACATCAGCTTTCTGTTTTCCTGCTGGGTAAATAAAATTAGGGTAGATAATCCCAGATCCAGGATAGGGTTACAATGATGTAGAAAAAACAATTCCCTTGAGGTGAAGAGCCTTCCTGCACAAAACTATCCTGTCAGAGTAGTTTGGAAAATCAGAACTGCTCAAGTAAGGAAGTTTGTGACAGATGAACAGGTTGTCTCATGTGAACATGGCATTTAACTGTGAACCAGCAGTTATGATATCAGGTCTGTTGTGTTGTCAAACCAAAGTCAGAAGAGAGTTGGTGTACTGATGGAAATAAGAGATGCCTTCTGGAGAAGTTTCATTTTTGGGTAGAATAGTCACACAACCTGCAACAACTTTGACATGGCTTTGAAAAATTCTCCAGAATAACAGTGACTTCTTCATAGTTTATTAATTATTAAGCATTTTATTTAAGCATTATTAATTATTAAGCATGCAATAATAATAAATATCCTCCAGGCATATTAGCTGACTCACAGTCTTTTCTAAATATAGTGTAAAAACTGATTCAGATGGACACAGTACACAGGTAACAGAAACAGTAAAGCCTAGATACTTGTGCCTTTTTATTATTTATTCCTAAAAGAAAGCTGGAAATTAGTAACAGTATATAAAACCTCACTTGAGGTGCCACCTTTTAAAAGGATCAGCATTTGGAAATGACTTCAGGAAGCTCAACAAATAATCTGCAGAAAATCAGAGTTAAGAGGAAGTTCCAGGGAAGATAGGTTAAGCTTCCTCTTCCACTAAGTGAATATGTTTGAGATCTTTGCTGCTGCTGACCTCTACTTGGCATGCCTCATTCCTTTCCTTCAGAGCTGCCATAACTACTCGTGTGAATATACTGTGGTTGTGTCAGCTCACTTGTTTCCCAGGGATTTAAGGGCCCTCCTGGGGTATTTTTGGAGAAGACGCTAGAGTTGAGGTAAAGCAATTACATTCTTATATAGAGGAGCACCTGCTGACAATGATGTTGGATTTGCTCCACCAAGATAAGTATCTTTTGCTTCAAACCAGAAAGCATTTCTGAACACATAAGGGATACTAATGTATCAAGCAGAAGGGAAAAAAATCTGTCCCATCAATATGTCATAACATACTGGCAGTTGAACAAATCCAGTTAATGATGTTTCTGGTGCTGAGATGTTAACAAGATATCCATTAATAATGCTAATTTTCTTCTAAATAGCGTACTTTTGTACTCCTTGTCTCATTTCCAAATATTTAAGAACACCTGATGACCAAGTTTCTAGGAAAGTCTGAGCCTTCTTTTAAAATGGCGTAAATGAAGTTGTAACTTATAGAAAAGAAAATTTTAGTAAAATTGCAGTCTGAGTCTTTAGTTTTTTTTACAGGTTATGACAAGTTTCTTATAAAAAATTATACAGGTTTCTGTGCAGCAAAGCTACAGATCCCTCTCACTAAAAGACAAACCAGTTCACCAAAGGGATGGATTTTTTTTTAGATTTTAACTCTGAAATAATCACGCAAAACAAATTACCACATACAGAACTTGTGAGATTTTTTATAGGAAGGCTTGGTTAGTTTGCTGTTATTATTGCAAACTGATTGTGGAAGTTGTAAAACATCTGTGGGGATTTGGGTGCTTAGTTACTTGGCTGGGCTCAAGTCCTGATGGGAAAACAGTTACACTGAATTATGGCACAACAGATGTATATTGTCTTCAGATGACAAGGATTAGTTCAGCTGTTTCTTTAAGTTTAAGTCAGTTGAATAAAAACAAGCATTTTAAAAGAAAACTTCTTTCAGCTCAGTTTTGAATGTTTCCTATGATTCATTGAAAATTTGTTCTGAGTAAAAAGCCAATTACATTTTGCAATTACTGCAAATGTTAGAAAAAGTTTATAGGGCTCTGAAGTCTTGGAACAATCTGCAAACACAGTCTGCTAATTGCCTTTTGGATAGCTTTTGTTGTGCTATCACCACATGCCAAACGCAGTTTGGCGGATGTATGATCAGCAGACTTAACCACGGCAGACTTTGGGGGGCGGGAATAGAAAGGCAGGGAGGAAGGAAGGAGTATTATTTTCAGTGCAAATATCCAGTGAGATGTCTGTTGTTCAGAGTAGTCTTGCACAGAATTACAGTCATTTCTGTTGGATAAGGCCATGGTCATCAAGTCCAAATTTGACTGATCACCACCACTTCGTAAACTAGATCACAGCACTAAGTGCCGTGTCCTGTTGTTTCTTGAACACTTGCAGGGATGGTGACTCCACCACTTCCCTGAGCAATCTGCTCCACTGCTTAAACAACCCCATCCGTGAAGAAATTCTTTCTGATGTCCACCATGAAGCTCCCCTGGTGCAGTTTGGGATTATGTCCTCTCATCCTGTTGCTGGTTGCCTCAGAGAAGAAGCCAGCCCCCACCTTACTATGACCTCCTTTCAGGCAATAGTGGAGAGCAATAAGGCCTCCCCTGAGCCTCCTTTTCTGCAGGCTAAATACCCCCACCCTCAGCAGCTCCTCACGGGACTTAGCCTCTGGGCCCTCCATCAGCTCTGCTGGCCTTTTCTGGACGCATTCCAGCACCTCATTGTCTTTCTGCACGTGAGGAGCCCAGATTGGAAATAGAACTCCAGAAGCAGCATCACCAGGGTCAAGCACAGGGGGGCAATCACTTCCCTGGTTCTGCTGACCACTATTCTTGGCACAGGCCAGGATGCCCTTGGCTTTCTTGGCCACCTGGCCACACTCTGGCTCAGGTTTAGGTGGCTGTCAAGCAGCACCTTTTGCCTGGGCCACTTTCCAGCCACTCTGTCCCCAGCCTGTGGTGGTGCATGGGGGTGCTGTAACCGAAGGGCAGGACTTGGTGCTTGGCCTGGTTGAACGTCACAGTTGGTCTTGGCCAACAGCTTGCAGCATGTCTGTCCATTGCTGGCTAGAGAGAACAGCACCTAAGTCACAACCTTGTCTGTGTTGCTTTAAAAGTAGACCACTTCACAATTACAAAAAAAAAAATAAAAATCATGTGATTTACTTTAGGTGAAAGTGGCAGCATTTGAGTTATTATTCATTGGTTTAATATAATATTTAGACTGGCTAACAAAGTCATAAAGGAAAGCTTTATTTTCCTTTTTTCAAAACCAGTGTACCTTTAGTGTCTTTATTCAGAATGAGAGAGCTTTAAAGTATACTTTAATATACTTTAAAGGAATTGAGCACACAACTTTCACCCGTCATTAATTTTCTGTGGTGAGAAGAATATAAAACCCTAGAATCCCAGAGTTGGTTTAATGATTCTTTTTCATAAAGCAAAGTTCATAGTGAGATCACAGTTCGTAGAAGTTTATTATCTCACAAAACATAGGCAACTTTTGTGTGAACTGAGAAATACAATCACTTTTCATTTTTAAGTCAAATAGAATAAGGGGGAAAAATATTAATATTTTTTCAACAAAGCAGTCCTTATGCCGCTTTTCAATTAAAAGTTAAAATCTTGGTAAACACACAAACTTCTTTAATCTGAGCTCATAAGCAAAATGCAGTGAGTCTGTAATTAAAAATATGTAAATTTGGCTTAAAAATAGGAGTAGCCTTTTAAATCAGAAGAACATCTAACTTGTAAATTTTGAGAGTGATCGTCCCTCTATCATACAATTTTATTAAATTTTTATTTAATATTTAGTGTCCCTTTGATCATGTCTCACTAGCTGTGTATAGGTCTTTTTTCTTTTTTAAGTTAAAACTGGCACCGGTAGTTTTCTCAGATTTAACCACAAAGTCTTAGAGATAGGAAAAAACTTCCGTATTTTCTCAGTTTTCAGATTTTAGCATGCTATATTCAGCCTAGTAAACTTAAAAGAGTGTGAAGCATTGGCACATTGTCTTGTCCAAACCCACACGAATGGATTCTTTTAACATAAAAATTCCAGATTATACCTCAAAAAAGCTTCTTCTGAAGAGAAGGATGTTCACCATATTGTAATTTCAGGTTGAACAACATTACATATTTGTTCAAAACCTCTTGTAATTGCCTTGCTACAGTGTGTGGTAATCATTCTGTACACAAGAGGGTTCTCCCCAGTTTTTTGATTGCAGCCTCATACAATGAAGGAATGATGCCAAGGTTAATTGTCTGTAGGGATCCTTTTATTACATCTGTTAACATGATTGAAACTAAATGACTCAAGAAAGGTAATGCAGTTTCACTGTTGTATAAAATTGTTATCTTTAAGTGACATAAAATAATTTCAAAATTCAGGTATTTTTAAAAATTTTATTTAGTATAAAACTTTGTTGTTGAAGTTTGAAGACTGTATAGTGGATACATTACTTATAATTTTTAAAACTTGAAGAAGGGTGAAAATATTTGTATCTTTTCATATTTTTCCATCTTAGAGACATTGGGAAAACAGATACCCAAACAGATTATGTTGTTGTTGGTTTTTTCTTTAACAGTAGGAATTCTTGTAGTTATTCAGTTCAGTGTCATGCACAACAATTTTCTTGGTGGGGGGAAAAAAACAAAGAAACATTTTGAGTTTGTCTGTACAGTTCATTGTATTTTTCATTCTGAAGGTGTACGGATGCTGGATGGAGATGTGACAGATATGGTGGAAGCAAAGTCCCTAAGCCTTAATCCCCAGCACATCCACATCTACAGTGCCAGCTGGGGGCCCGATGACGACGGTAAGACCGTGGATGGACCCGCTTCTCTAGCACGTCAGGCCTTTGAGAACGGCATCAGAATGGTAGGTTGGCTTTCACACGTGCCTGGATCTGCTCTCATGTGCACCTCTAAGGGTACCTGTGCCCACTGCATGCAAGTGCTCAGCATGGGGAGAGGCAAACGACTTGGAAGGAAAGAAGAAAACTTCCTTTGCTTAAAACTGGAAACATATTTTTCTTTTGTAGTGACCTGATGATCACTGTCATCTGAAGTATGAGCTCTGTTCATTTTCATCTGGAATACATAATCCTCAGTGTCTTTTAAAACTGCTCTGAGGGAGTGATGTAATTAGAAATAAATTGACTGAGAAATGCTACTTTGCACATCAGGGCTAACTCATCAAATCTGAGGTGCAAAGAAATTTTAAAGCAAAACCTTTGACTGTGTTTCCTTCTTTCTTCATTTCTATTTTGCTTTGTTTTGCATGATTTCTTAATGTAAGTTTGATGATTTTAAAAGGGAGCTGGGGGGCAGAAAAAGGTCTATACCCATGGTTCTTTTACCATTTATGTCTGGTCTCAGAGAATTTACAGTACTGTAATAACGGGAACACTAATGGAACTGCAAGAATGCAGGGGATCTTGCTCCAGGAAGTTTTTTGTTTAAGCATATATATGTGTTTGTTTAAATGTTGTATTTCATGTAGGGAACAAAACTGTGAAAAGTTCAGCCTGAATTTCTGTACCAGAAGGACTCAGACGTTTCCTCATTGAAATCTCAAGTTCTCAAACTGGGGATAAATATGTGGAATAACTTGCCAAGAGCGTAGATCTTGCCTACAAGCATTATTGTTCCACTGTTATTATTAGAGCAGTAATTTGAGAAGATACCCTACAGAACCCAGATGAATTTCATTTTACCAGCACATTGTTCTGCATGTGAAATAAGCACCAGTCTATAGTGAAAACATAGCATTTAATTTTCAGAGGTAGGCTTTTTCTGATAACAATGCAGAAAAAGGTTGGTATATTTTTTTGAGCAATAATAGAAGTCATATTTGATACAAGTCAAATTATTATGTTTTACAATATAACTTTTATGTCATTTTATCAAACTTTATTCTGCCTGAAGCTGCCCATGAGGTCTTGAATAGATCTAAATATTTCCATGTATTTGGATATTTTATCTGTCTCTGACTATGAAAGCTTCATTTCTACTCAGGAAATAGAAGTACTTAAAAAAACTTACATTAAAATATACTGCTACAAAATACAAAACATTTAAAGCTAACCTCTAGTTTTCATTCTTTAAAATATAATATAGACTGAAAGATTGTAAATGCATGTTTTAGGAATTACCACCTTCCCTGTTAGGCTGTTTCCAGATCGAGAATTACTTCAAGATGAACTCTCTTTTTTAAATAAGTAATGTCTTTCTGTATTCAGATAAAGGTACTTTCTCTGTATTTCCTTATACTGTCATAAGCTGTGTCATTTTAAAAGATGAGGCAAATGGAAGAAGAAAAGATGAATTTTTTTGGACTGAATATGCCAGAAATGGGCTGATTATTCAAGGTTGTGTTTACATACTCAGTCAAACATAGATTTCCCTAAGGAGTCGTAATAATTGTGCAGTAATAATAGGCAGTCAAAAATGCTTATTGTGTTGTATACAGATCCTTACTCTCCTTTTTCAGAAATATTGAACTGAACAGCAACAGTATAACATCTGTAGCATAAATTGAAGTAACATCGTGTCTTGGTTTTAGACAATTAAAGTGGGCGGACACTCCAGAATCAGTTACCTTCCCTTTCAGTTTTGACACTCCCCATTCACCAATAAGGAGGGATGAATGCAAGAAGGTATAACTGTGAAATAATAACGGTTTAAAACAGTCATTAAAAAATGAAAAAGGAACAGGAAAAACTGACTGTGATAATCAGTAGTTATAACGTTGCTGAATTTCATGGATTCCTCATGGACTCCCCAGAAACAAAGAAAAGCAAAAACTGCAGAGAAACTCTGCCCTGAGATGGCACTCTCCATGTATGACCATGTGTGTGGAGAGATAAGGGGAAATGGCAAACAACTGTTACCCCCAGGATGGTTCCCTCTGCAGACAGCCTGGGGTGCAGAGAGAGAAGAGAGGACAAGAACAGCACAGCAATTGAACATGAGCAAGTAAAAATCTCCCTCTTCTCCCCAGATATCAACCAACAGGGAAAAAGAACAAAACAGAAAGAAAACCTAGAGTCCCTGGGTCAACAGCTGGAACTCATGGAGGAACTTTGCCTTCTCTTTAGCAAAAATAGCAGCAGGGGCTTGGACAACTTGTATTCCATGCCCTCCTGCTTTGACCAGGCACTGCTGGCAGTTTGGGGCAACCATATGGAGTGGGGGCTGTTCTATTTTTCTTGGCTTGGTGGTGTGGCTGCTGTCTGCCTTGTGCTATCTCAGCTCACCCAGCAAGATCAAAAGAGAAAGAGCACTTTTTCCTGAAAGCCCCCAACTTTCAAAAAGGACTAACAGACAGCCTGACCTGACTGTTCCTTTTCTGGTCACTGGGTCTCAAAGAGACAGCAGCAACTTTGGGCACAGATAGATATGGAATACAGTAACATTTTGGGTTACCCAGAACACATCAGTACAGGAAAACCTGGCAAAACCTTCTTTCAGACCTACACAAAGTCTGAAGATTGATTATTCTTAATTTACTATGCAAGTATCCACACAATTGTACGTTATAATTTTAAAATGGAACAGCAAAAGGAAATGACAAGATTTTTTTAAAACATCTGAAAAGGAAATTATGCCTGGCTGGCTTTATTAGGAAAATCAAAGGTAGTGCTGAATAATAACTTTGATTCTGGCATAATCAAGCTCAATTATTATTTTAAATTTATTATAATTATTGCATAAAAATGAAATGGATGCAAGAACCATCCATTGTTGAGTTTTCTGAGAGACTTGGTTCCATGAAAAAAGCACCTGATTTATCTTAAACACATATTATTCCAATTAACAGCTTGTGCTGTGTGTTTCACAACTATTATTATTTTTAAATCTGCTGAACTAATATGGTTACACCTTTCAAATCCTGCATAAAATAATAAAGATGACTGCATAATTTTTGTGCAGAATTACAGAGAGACAACACATATCTTGGATTGAAACAGACAAATCTGTTTTAAAGAAAGGCTGCTAAGGAATAAATGAATTCATGAAATGTAAATTAAATATGCCTAAAAATTCTGCCCAGGATCAAGATAATGAAAAAGGAAACCAGTTTTTAAAACTGTCACAAGTACTATGATTTTATGTCGTTTTTAAGGGTATTTAATGTAATTTTATTAAATTTGCATACTTGAGTTCGAAGAGAAGCCTTGGATATTTTACTATCAAACAATTTCTGTGCAAATAGAGAACTCCCATTATATCATGCTTTCAGTTGAGAAGGTCCTTTTCTTGAAAATAGCGTAGTTGTGTGGAAAATTCCAGATGTCTGTGTTTTAAATACTAATGCCTTAGGACTTGTAGACCGAATAATATCAAGAAAAAATCCATTGTAATTATGCAGAATTTGCCTGAAAAAAGCCAAAAAAATGGTGGTATATCAAAAAGTAACATATTCAAGGAAAGATTAGGTATCTAATGTCACATTTCACCCTGTGCTCAAGAGCAAAGCTTAGCATTGCATAATGTGATTGTGGCCAAATCATGTCATAAGACTGTGCTGAATCTTGGACAAAATGGAGAATACAAAAGCCTTCCTTGATTCATAAATATGAAATCTAAGTATGTTTTTAAGATGCCTGTTGGTGTCTCACAGTCAATAAGCACAATGCTATAAGCGCTTGATGGAGTTGAGTTTGCTGATTCATGGCTCCGCCATGCAGCGTTCAGTCTAGCTCATTTGTATTCATACAAATAAGTCTGGCATTCTGCAATGGTGTCAACATTGTTTGGAGAGGAAAGCATTTCAGATATTCAGACTTGTTCTCTCATTGTTGTTTGGCAAAGACCAAATAATCAAGGTTCTGGGTATGTGAGCACTGTAGATATTTAGCAATTTAGCAATCTTCAATATGAAACGTTCTCCAAATAGCCTTCATTACCATGCATGACCAGGAAAAAGTGCTTCTTTTTGTAGCAGTTCTTGAGAACAGGATGTGCCAAAGCCATATGTGCATCAGTGTGTGTGGTGTGTTACTGAAGCATCTGAAGCAAAGCTTCTCTGGCAAAGTGGAGCAGGAGCAGACCCTGGGCAATAAATACACACTACAACACTGACACCTGAAAAGCAGACAATCCTTACACTGAAGGATTACAAAGAGCTGGTTATCTCACTCTCCAATGTCTCACCAATTGCATGTTTTATGTTGTTTCTGTAGTACACATCCTTGAAACACATAAGGAAGTGTATATAAATCAGCAACTGGTCAGGTCATCCTTAATATAACCTAGAGAGGGTGGAGAGGAAGAGAAATCTGCATGGAAACTTTGGGCACAACCACCTTCATCTTATTGCTGTGACACCACTCTGTTTAGTGACTGGACTCAAGCCAAAATATTTGATGGACATTAATGATCAGATGCTGTGTGGCTGAACTTCTTGTGCAAACTCAGCTTCATGCCTTCCCAACCATCATCATTGCCCCTTCTCATCTCTCTTGCTTCAACAGCTTTGACTGCAGAGTGTTTGTTCCAAGTGCTTGCTGGGTGCAAGCACTTAAATCACTTAAAGTATCCAACCCACATGGAAGAGTGAGGGACAAAGAGGAAGAAAAGGAGAAATCAAGAAGAAGGATTTAACAGTTATTATTATCATCATTATCATTACTGTATGTTTCTGCTTCAAAAATGGAAGAGGTTGTTCATCATTTGCAGGCGTCTAGGCAATGGTTTGCTCCCAGTGTTCTACCAAAGATGTTTCTATTACATGTATTTGTCCTGTCATCATCTCTCCACATTATTCTCAGGAGGATGTGTTGCCTACACCAAGAGGAGTTATTCCCTTTTACTTTGCCAGAGAACTGCATTTCAGAAATCTAAGGCAGAAATTACAGCAGGAAGACTTCTAGT